AATTAATGTTTGTCACGAATCTTATTGTAATAATAGTGTGTTCTTGACATAACGTTTTAAAACACTCTTTATTTGTCCACCATATAGTAGTAGTATATTTTACCACCCTGCGTTATTTAAATTTAGTCATAAAATAATATAAATGTATACAAATAGTTTAAGGTGAGCTTGTAACAGGAATTTAAATTCATAAAAGAAATCAGAATTCGTAAATCAACATTTTTATTAATTAAAACATAATTATTTATCAGTCTTAGGAATCGTAAACTTTAATTACACAATTATAACAAAAATATATCTTCTGTATATAAAAAAAATAAAAAATCTTCTAATTTATATAAAAAGTCTTCAGTTTAATAACTTGAAATCAAATTAGCAGTCTCATGCCATTCTTTAAAACACAGTGCACACAGTGCTGGTTTTTCTTTGCATCCCATACATCTGAAACCAGTTTCCTTACGAAATCTATTCTTTGCACACATTTTGCATTTGAGGTAGTTCGTTTTCTTTTTGGAGCCAGGAGGAAGTGGAATCTTTTCAGGCCAATGTCCAATGTTACCATTATCGAGATAAAAGATCAGGTTTTTGGTCAGGGCTAATACCAATCAAATCTCGTATCAATTCCTCTCGAAAATTTAAAAAATCATATTTTGTATTATTATATATTGTATTTTCTATATAAAAAATAACTGTTCCAAACGGCTAGATCCAGTAGGTGAAAAAATACTTTTTTGTACCATCTCAAACATTTCCGGGGAGACGAGTAATATGATACCATCTGGTCAGCTCGATCTATACCGGACATGAATTCATTGTAAGTTACCACTTCCGCTGGTTTTCTTTTTAATTGTCCTCGTCTATTTGTAATGTTAATCATTTTTGGATGGTTCCTTGTAGTGATCATTGTTACGGTTCGCTTATCAAACCATTTCGAAACATAGATATTGTTTTTTCGTGCCCATACATATTCACCTTTCTTTAACTTTTTTTTCATAACCGCCTTCGGGTTTCCTTTACGGTTTGTTCTGAGTGTTCCGTTTGTATGTGTTCTAAGGTCAAGTAATTTATGAGACAAGGCAAAAGAATTATAATAATTATCCATAAATAATTCATGACCTTTCAGAACATATGGTCTCATTAATCTTAGTACAATCTTTTCTGTTTTTTTACCCTTTTCCACAGATTCATCTTTTCCAGTATATATTAATATATTTAAAACATAACCACTTGCCTCCGTCAATTCATAGAACTTTATTCCATATTTAGCTTTCTTTGATTTTAAATATTGTCTAAATGATAGACGTCCCCTAAATAAAAGGAGCGATTCATCCAATGAAAGTTCTTTTTCGGGTGAGTAACATGCGCGAAAATTCCTGGTAATAGCATCCATAAATTCTGTTATTTTTGCTTTGCCTATAGCACTTAAAGGTCCAGTATATAGACACCTTAACAGTTGCTCAAATCTACGTCCCGACATTGTAGATACAAAAATGGGGTGATAATATAAACTGTCTGATAATGTAAACAGCTTCCGCTTTTGGGGTACGTTGACTTGACCACCTAACATGCATAAACCTAAAAATTTCAGCATCTCACTTCTATGTGTAGGTTTGAATGAGTATGATCGACTGTGTCTAGTTTTCGGCCTATTAGTTTGACACATATTTTCGCCATATACATTTGTGCAATCTATTAGATAATCAAGAATCATAGGTGGAAACAAGCGGTTGAATACATCAGTTACAGTTGTGTTTTCGTTTATAGAAAACGTTACTCCTACAGTATCGACGTCAAAATTAAATTCTGGTATGGAAGTTGTAGTTTGCACCCATTCTTCCTCTATAGATGTTGTCTCAGTGGGACGTGACGTGAAGTGGACGCCTCCTGGTCTATTGTGCAACGCGTTGGATGAAGGTGGTAGTTCAGCAGAAGACCTTGGTTCTTCCTGAAATATCTCATGGTGATAGCTTTCAGCCACCACATGTGAAATTGGTGATAAAGTTGACAAATCCAATATCCTATTTTGAGAGGCGTTTGGTGAAGGTAGTAGTTCTTCCTGAATTATCTCGTCAGGTGATGTTTGTAATAGGTTTGACGAACCCAATAGCCTATTTTGAGATAAGTTTAGTGAAGGTGATAACTCATTTATTTCAGGTTCAGAACATTCTTGAATTATTTCATTGTAGCTTTCAGCCACAACAGGTGGAACCATAGTTGGAGCGCCAGCCAGTTTTAAACGTTTGGCCAGAGGAAAAATTTCTTCAGAGGTGCTCGAGTCATAACCTGAACCGTCCTCTTGAGTATGTAATTGGTAAGGGGTTTCTACATTCCTATTTAGTATTGAGGATTGATTTGATGACTTATTCGTAGAGCTTTGGCTCCAATTAGTTTCTGAACTAGAAGACGATTGTCTTAAATGTCTTACTGCATCGCCTTCATCACTGCTAGATTCCGAACTAGAATCAGTATTAGGTCTCTGAGACGAGTCGCCAACAGTCTTTGATTGTAATTTAGTTTTTGTCGACTTCGGACGGTAATTAATAATATGAAAACTACTACCTGACGTATCTCCACATGGATCGTAATTTTTATCCGATCCATAGTCGCCATCATCGTCCTGGAACGGATCTACTGCGGTCGAACTATCCGAATCCTCAAAAATCCTCATCGGATTTGTCGTGCGTTTTTCCATCTAAAACAAACAAAATAACCAGTAAGATACCATTTTCATAGAGCAATATTGTTTATAATACAGTTCACAATAAAACAATAAGAAAACAATTACATAAATAATACTTACGATGCTTTTGTGTCTCGACGAAGTTTACTACGAATCGCCCCTGCGAAGCTAAAACGCGCGTGCATCTCACTCGTGACACAGTCGAACTAAATGTAGGGACACTGGAAGCGTGCGGGACGTATAATCACGTTGTGCGTGTGTGTGTTGCGTTACCACACACTGCCAAGAACACATTTTTGAAATGGTCAAAAACCTATTCTATATGACAGTAAAGTTCAGAGTATTTGATATGTTGTGACACAAGCTCCAAATCATAGAATTTTTATTTAAAAGTTCATCGGAAATGAACGTTCCGCCTCACATGTTCTTTTTTTTTTTGAACGTCATGGTACGTTGTGTCAAATCAAAACCATACATTACGACGTACAATCACGTACCGCCCGTGAAAGTGTTAACGTGTTAATGACGTGAGTACCGGACTTTGTATTTTTCATTTTTAGTAGACATTACGCATGAAGAGTACCTAAACATTAGCCTCGCCAGTTTGAAAAAAATACTCACCTTTTTTGATTCACGTTTGTACGTTGTTCTTAAATTATCAATTTTTTTTTCATACCAGCTAATGTTGCATTTTTACAAACTTGTTTGAAAACTTTTAAAAGTCTTTCATAGGACTTAGTTCTCAAGTCTCTATTTGAGTAATCTGCTGCCGAAGTGTCCCATAAGCATCTACATTCTTTGTAACACTCCAAAAATAAAACAAAATATTCGCGGTCTGACACCGAATCGCTTTCCCCGTCCGATGACATATCAATGCGCGCGAGTAGGTACACGTCTGAACTGGGACGCTGGTCGTGTGTGACTGTTACGTTTTATCGGACGAATGGTTCTATACACCGTCCGATTTAGGATCCGATTTTAGAAAAAGGACGGTCGGAACATCCGATTCTCCGATTTTGTAATAATAATAATAAAATTAGGACCTGTTGCACAATACATTATCCGATTTCATCCGATAATTAGGATCGGATTGGATAGGATCAGAAGGTGTGGATCATGCTTAAGATTTTAAACCGGTTGGATCGCCGACGAACTTACTCGGCGGTTTTAAAGTACGCGTACTTACGGTGACACACGAGCGAAAAAGGTCGTCGAGCCATAAGTACGCGTACTTGCTCGCCCGTCTATCACTCACTTAAATCGCTAGATGTCGAAACGTTCATTCGACAACTTGGCGAACACTTGAACCCTTCAGTGCTGCCATATTTACAGATTTATCTGTGTTCATACAGATTTTTGAACCTCATTACAGATAACAGATTTAATACTACTTTTATACAGATTTTTGAAATATGTACTTTTTGTACATAAATACTTTCTAGGATCGCCTTTCATCCCATCAGTCTACTCGATAATATCGCGCCTGTGTGTAAGAGGCTTAACAATAATCAAAGCTAGCAATACTGACTGGCGTAAAAATCTATTCTTGCTTGTTATCGGGGAGTCCCTCGGATTATAAATAAACTTATACCAGTTCGGCCCATTCGTGATTCGTGTGACAGTGACGACGCTAAAAAAACGCGAAACAGTTTCATAGGTTGTTTGGTTTGATACACACGAACGAAGGTGCGAATCAAGTAAAAATAAAGTGAAGTAGGTATTTTTTAATATTTTTGTGGGCAATGGCCAGTAAGAAACCCCGTAAAGCTCAAACGTTTAACCAAAGCTTTAAGAGTGGAAGAGATTTACTTTAAAGCTTGGCTAATGCCAATTCAAAAAGGTACGGAATATGATTTCTGCAAATTTCGTTTATGAGATCTTGCTGTCTCCGGCGGAGGTAAAAATGATTTGGCACGTCATATTAAAACATTAAAGCACCAAAATTCTGTTCCATCCTGTTCCCAAGTGACGTAAACATATTTCGGCTACGCTGCCTTGAGTTTTTTATAGAAGGATCTAAACAAATTAAACGTCGTTATAATTTTAATAATGACATTATAAGAGATTTAACTTTTTAAATCCATATAAAATTAAGCAATGCAACACTCCATATTATTGACTACATAGGTCAAAATCTTTTACTTTGATATCTTTCTACAGATATTGTACAGATTTTTTACACTAGCAGCACAAATGCATACAGATTTTCTTTGATTCCTTTCAACAGATATTATACAGATTTTTTACATTAACAGTACAGATTTGTTAAACTGACAAGTGGCAGCACTGGAACCCTTTAGAAAAGCAAAATAACATGGCTGATTGTTAGTCAGCTGTTGGTGTTGTTTGCATCAATTATTGCTTGTTTCTTATATTTCGTGGTTTTTTGATAAAAATGCATACGTTGCGTTTACTAAGGGCTGCACATAATGAAAGTGTGTGGTTGAGGCGTCAAAAAAGATACAATTACCGGCAAACAATGGAAAGTGTGGAAGATATGCCTGAGTTACTGTTTGTTGAACATTTTCGTTTGAATAAGAGCACCTTTCGGCGGCTTTGCAACGATTTGCGTGTTCATACGTCGCTAAGAGGATCTAAAGAAATCCCTTTGAAAATTAAGGTAACCTTACTAAACGTTTACAAATACTTAAATAAATAAACAATAGTTTTGATGCAACTACGTTTGATTTCAACATTTTCTTTACCTCATTACTTTATGTTTTTAGGTGCTCACTGCTCTTAATTTTTTACTAGCTACTGGTTCCTATAAAAGGATCGTGGGTGTTAGTCAAAATTTAACACAAAGAACAACGAGCCGGTGTGTCCGGCAAGTCGTTGATGCGCTCAACCACCCCACACTCATGAGCAAGTTGATTCAATTTCCACAAACGGTACAAGAAAGATCGTTAATCAAAGAAGAGTAAGTAATCATGCTTATGTTTCTAGGTAATGGTTAGCTAAAAAAGTAAAGTATATTAAGTATGTCTTAACTACAGTAATTATTAAATTTAAGTAACATAAATAGGTTGTTACTTCTCTGCCATATTATATTACAAAAATCTTCATTTTCAGATTTCAAAGGAAGTATAATTTGCCTGGAGTGATAGGATGCAGCGACTGCACCCACATTGCTATAGTAAAACCCGCTGAAGAAGAGCATGCTTTCTATAACAGAAAAGGATATCATTCCTTAAACGTTCAAATGGTTTGTATTTAAATCTAGAAATATTATTTCTGCTTTCATAACTACCAATTTTATTTGATACTACATAAAATTACATTTTCAGGTATGTGATCATAATTTAAAAATAATGAACATAAATGCTAAGTTTGGTGGAGCAACACATGATTCCCACATATGATCATCGAGTCTCATAGAACCCTATATGCGTCACCTTCATGAAAGTGGTGAACATGTTTGGTTACTTGGTAAGTAAGATATTATAAGAGATAAGAGTAAGATATTTATAAGAGACTTATATATATATATACCATTAAATATATACAAGTAGTATAACATAGGTAAGTATGCTTTAAATCTTTTCTCATTCATAACTTCTTGCTTTCAGAGGATTCTGGTTATCCACAACGCCCTTGGCTTATGACTCCAATATTAAATGCTCCACATGGGTCTCGAGAGGAATTGTACACCACTCGTCATGTACAAGCCAGGACATGTATTGAGCGCTGCTTCGGATTACTTAAAACACGTTGGAGGTGTTTGCTTCGTGACAGGGTCCTTCATTATCATCCCAACGTTGCCAGCAAAATAACACTTGCATGTTGTGTGCTACACAACATCTCGCTTCATGCACACTTGCCAGCTCCAAGTGATATCCCTGTTACTACTGTAGATGATAATGATGACTCCAGTACACAAACCACCCAAAGCACCACCACGGAGAATTGAAATGAATTAATCCGAGGCAGGGCAATGCTCAATTATTTAATAAGTAGATTGTAGATGTAGTGTTAAGTATCTATATTTATTAATTATTTAGCATTATAGCACATATATAATTGTTCAACTGCCAATATTTGTACAGAGTTGTTAAATATTAAGTATTGTTAGTTGTATAGACAAATAGTAATGTATAAAATTTGACTAAATGTTTCATTTGTTGCTTGGTTGGAAAAGTAGAGTAATGTGGTGTGACTATTTATTTTACAAGTTTTTTACTACCTTGCAATGTTTGTATGTTAGATCTCACAACTTTTTGTTATGTTTTTTGTGAGATTGTTTATAAAACATTGATTAATAAAATAGTCTACATAATTATAGAGATGACATTTTAATTTTTTTTATTGTGTTTCACCATTCACCTGTGCTAGTCCTAACTTAATTGAGGTCAGCGGCGTATGTGGTACTTTCCTTTCATACTCTTTCGGCCATCATCTTAGTATCTACACTCGCACCCCATTCTGGATGTTATTAAAATAAAAAATGGTCAAAACAAGTGTTATAATAATAATAATAATTGTTTATTGCCTCTAAAAAGACAGTTACATAAGGTTAAAACAAAAGAATATTATAATTATTGGAGACAAAAGGAGACAGCTCAGCTTTGTCTGTAACGAGATACAGATCTGGTACAGAGCTGTTTTTCAGCCCGCTCCCTCCTCTCTGAGGTGTTGTGCGGGAGTCCAAAGTTGCATGCTCCCCATTTACCTGACTTATACTTAAAAACTAAACTACGTACAAGGTAATTAAATGTGATAATAAATTTCAAATACAAAAAAAATGACTAAAAAATTAAAGACAAAATAAAACAATAAAAATATGCATAAAAACAACCATTACAAAATAAACTAACATCAGATTAAATAAAAGAAAATGAAACCAACACGGGAAATAGAAAATATACATAACCAACTCTTTTATTTTATTAGAACTACTTGAATAATACCTATCTAGGTACATACACTGAACTATCTACTTATTAAATAACAATATTAAACTTTAAATAAACTAAAAGTAGTATCAGGACATTGAGTTATATGTACTACGTACTAGAGGAGACACCTCAACACGATTGTTTGTAACATGCGTTAGAGTGCGCGCTCTCAAACTCACTTAGTCTGTGTCAAGCGGTTGCTGCAACGTGAGAAGTTTGAGCGAAGAATTATTTTTAAATTAATATGCCTTCGTGTGCATTGAGACACTGTTCAAACAACTCGAGAAATATAAGTAAAAGTAGAGATGAGTCGTTTTTTTCGCAACCTGTTACAGCAACAGGTTGCGTCGAAAATAAAAATGTAACCTGTTGCGACAAATCGCGCAATAGGTTGTTTCAGTAACGTCCAAGAATTAAATGTTTTTGCAGAAATATAGGTTGCGCACTGCTATTATCGATAAAGCAGCCGGTTAGTTGTGAGCAACTGTTAGGTAACAGTAACAGCTTGGCAGTTACGTACTGTTTTATCCACACAGTTGTTGTTAGTTACTGTGTTATGGTTGTTTACGAACTGAAGATATTCGGGCGATGTTATGCGTCCTTCAAATATGAATTTGAATTAGTCCGTTGACAACTATTGTTTATGATACGTTGTTCGAGTTTCGAAATAAAAGTAATAGTATTTAAAACTTTCAAAGTGCGTTTTGCTTATATGTTATTGTGTTATTGTTTAGTTTACTTTATTTTTTTTTGCATGTGTTTATTTGTTTTGCTTGCATGACGATATAATTTATAAAGCTTTGGTGTTGGAAACTAATAAACTGTATAAAATATAAAATGTCTCGAAAAACCAGTGATATTTGGAAACATTTTAGCATTGGAGACAATGTGGCAAAAATTGCAACTTGTAATATATGTCAAAATGCGGTATCATACAAATCTACCATAACAAATTTAAAATTACATTTAAAGCGTAAGCATGTGTCTGTATTTTATACATTAAGCCAACCTGATACTAATATTGCTTCACAAGCTACATTAACAAGTGACAAAACGGTGAGTGTGACAAAAGCCAAAAGTCATCAAAAATGATTTTTACATTATCAGTTCAATTTTTTAATCTACGTATATAATCTTTTTATAGAGTAGGCTGACAAACAAGCAAACAGTCCAACTGATGGTAAGTGGATGCTGTGACCCACAGGTATCTACATTTATATTAAAATGTCTACTTTTACGTCGTTGTTTAAAAAATCGATAAGATATTAAGAGAAAAATTTATTGAATATCTATTATTTAAAAAAAAAGCTTTAAATTCAAGTAATAAATAATTGACATTTTTTTATATCCCTAGATAAATGTGACAAATCCAGAACATGCTATAGCATCAGCGTTAACAATAAATTCTACCGCTACGATTTCTGACGCTATTAGCTCCGGCTCTTCAGCGCAAAAACGGCAAAGAACAATGGCATCATATATTCCAAAAAAAATGAGTATGCAAGAAAGTAAACTGATAGATGAAGCCTTGTTACATCTTTTCATTTGGGATTATCAGCCGTTGAGTATAGTGGAAGATAAAGGATTTTTAAAATATACAAATGCTTTAAATCCTTCGTACAAACCACCTAGTCGGAAAACAATATCAGCCAGTTTGATACCATCGGCTTACACCGCCTGCAGGGAGAAATTAATGAAAGAAGTACAGCGAGAAGCTATGAGTGTATGCCTCACAACTGATACGTGGACTTCTTCCGTAAATGATAGTTACATAGCAATAACCATACATTACACTACATCAGAATTAGAATTCAAAACGGTACTTTTAGAATGTGCTCACTATAGTGAAAAACATACAGGTGAACTACTAGCTAGCCAATTAAAAAACACGATTGAAGCCTGGGGCTTGACCGGAAAAGTAGTACTGGCAATAACGGACAATGCAAAAAATATTGTAAATGCCATTAATTTGTTAGGGTGGAAGCATTTTGGATGTTATGCTCACACCTTAAATTTAGTTGTTGATGATGCATTAAAAATTGTTAAAGATACTTTAGAAAAAATAAAAAATATAGTATCATATTTTAAGAGAAGTTCATCTGCAACAGATAGATTGATAAAATATCAAGTTCAACAACAGATTAATATACCCAAAAAACTCAAGCAATCTATACCTACTCGTTGGAATTCAACATTTTTCATGTTGCAGCGCTTTGTAGAGTTGGAAGAAGCAGTGCGGGCCACTTTGGCCCTGGTGCAAAGAGATTTTGATGAGTCTCTATCTGAAGACGATTGGATTATATGCACGCAACTTACCACTATTTTAAAGCCATTTGAGCAAGCAACGGCCAAAATGAGCGGAGAAAAATACACCACCGCCAGTATGGCGATAGTTGTAACGCGTGGTTTACATAACGTGTGTGAAAATTTGCTTAAAAACCAATACAAGCCTGTCATTAGCAATGTGCTACTAAAACTAAAAGAGGGACTTTCAATGAGATTCAATAACATTGAATACCATAAAGAGTTGGCTATGAGCACACTTTTAGATCCGAGATTTAAAATGAGTGGCTTTAGTGATAAATGTGCGGCAGATCATTCCAAAAAAAGAGCCATTGATATGGTTGCTACTATGATCGGCAACTCTGTTGTTACACATTATCCCACCACTTCCAATGAGCCATCGCAACCTGGCTGTTCAAAAGAGATATCCATATGGGACGACTTTGATCGGGAAGTTAATAATTTACAGCCAAGAAGCTCACCTATGGCAAAAGCGATTACGGAAATAGGAGCATATCTAGAAGATGCATTATTGCCCCGAAACTCCGAAGATACACCCCTTGAATGGTGGAAAAACAATCGCCATCTTTATCCAACACTATGCAAGTTATTTATTAAAAGGGGCAATTTCCTGGCTACCAGTGTGCCTTGTGAACGAATATTTTCGAAAGCTGGGTACATTATTAATGACAGAAGGACCCGATTAACCAGTGAAAAGGTTCGCCAATTGGTGTTTTTAAATATTAATAAAAGTTAAAAATATTGCTGCTATAAATAATTTTTGTTTGACTTTTTTCATCCACAAATATAATTTCTCGTTACTAAAATTTCATAACCAAATTTATTTTTAATAGAATTAGGATGACGACGAGCACACAGTACACCTGATGGTAAGTGAATGTAGTGGCCCATAGACGTCTACATCTATCCTCGATTAACAATTAAAATGCAGATGCGTTAACACTGAGGACTGAGATGGAATGCCTCGCTTAGTACCCGTAAAAGGGTCTCTTTACACTCACCATATAAAACACAGCAGCATTAAGCTGCTATTTTACGTTGGTATTTTTTGAGACGAACCAACCCATTCGTGCTACAACCATAATAAAGCTGTAGCGTGGCTATACCACGTATAATACCTACCTAATAATGACTAAAGACACAAAATAAAAACATAGTTCATATAGGTATGTATAACATTTAATTTTATTAACTACTAATTTAATATTACATGGCAATTAGAAACCTGTTGCAAAAAAACCTGTTGCTGCAACAGGTTTCTTAAAAAAAATGTAACTGGTTGCATCATTGCGTTAAAGCAACGATAACGCCCATCTGTAAGTAAAAGTCAAGGAGTGACTTTTCACCAGTAAGTTCAACATACTATTATCTTTAAAACACGCTTAATTTAATTATATTTTATCAACTGCAACGTATACGGGAATGTCAAAGAGTAAAACATTTTTATGCGCAGACTTAACACTATTGACGTATAATGTTAAGTAATTATGGACAGTAAATATTATTATTTGGATTTAAAGGTTCCCTGAATCAAAAAAAAAAGAAAGAGTATCATGGATCAAATTTGTTCAGAAGAATCGCAGCGAAGAAACGAGGTTACCGTCAGATTATTCACGCATATTTTCCGTACATTTCAAAGAAAACAACTAATACTTCACTAAAACAGGAAGAGTATACTTAAAGAAATCTGCAGTGCCATGCGATAAGGTAATTATATTATTATATAAAATTGCTGGGATTTTTGTTTTATTTTGTGATAAGACGACGAACGAATTTTTGTAATGTGTAATTCAGTATATTTACGGGACTTAAGAGAGGCGGTACCCTCGGCGCGCGAGTCGTACTAGTATAGCGAGGTAAAATACCGCCATATGGCGGGTTTTTAATAATGGAACGTTAAAATTTTTACAGGCTTCCCAGATAACTAGTATCTTTTTTTTCAGCCAACAAAATGTGGTGAACAAGAAGTATTAGAACCGTTGTCTGAATCAGCAAGCAGTTTAAATACCATTTTTTATAGCCCGACAAAAAGTGTACTCAAAAAAAAATACGCAAACTTCAGCTAGAAAGAAAATTACTGAGAAATTTAAGAAAATACAAAGAGAAAATATTTTTTTACAGAAAAATGTGATTCTTACGAATATAAAAATAAATATTAAAATATAATATAAATGTATATTTTTATATTTTACGTGTTTACCTTTTAAAATATCATTAAAATATAATTGTGACATAATATTATGTAATATTATATTAAATTAGCACATATGCAAAATAAATATAACAATAAATGAATTGTACTAGATATAATTAACAATACAATATAAATAAACAATTATTACATACTGATCATTCTACCTTCGTACATCTATACCTAATCTATGATGACAAAAACTGACCGCGCAGGCGCAACGCGCTTATATCAACTGCGCATGCGCGACTCTATCTCCCGAGCATGCGCGAAGACATAGAGTAGCGCACACTTTTTGTTTGGAATAGCTTCTCTAGTACGTAGTACATATAACTCAATGTAAAAACTCAGTACTAAAAATAAATCTTATTAGTACTAAATTTAAGTCTTTAAAGCTGTTGAAATTAAAGTATTTCTAACATTATCTTAAACTAGTTTTTATGGACGAATTTCAATAGTAGCGGATATCTAACCATTAGGTCTCGGATTTGATCCCCGGGTTGGGCAGTGTTATTGGGTTTTTCCATTAGAAATTCCTTCATATTAGCTTGGAGTCGGAGTTTGTGTACAGTTACATAAGGTTAAAACAAAAGAATATTATAATTATTGGAGACAAAAGGAGACAGCTCAGCTTTGTCTGTAACGAGATACAGATCTGGTACAGAGCTGTATCTCGTTACAGACAAAGAGAATTTAAAAATAATGAACATAAATGCTAAGTTTGGTGGAGCAACACATGATTCCCACATATGGTCATCGAGTCTCATAGAACCCTATATGCGTCACCTTCATGAAAGTGGTGAACATGTTTGGTTACTTGGTAAGTAAGATATTATAAGAGATAAGAGTAAGATATTTATAAGAGACTTATATATATATATATATATATATATATATATATATATATATATATATATATATATATATATATACCATTAAATATATACAAGTAGTATAACATAGGTAAGTATGCTTTAAATCTTTTCTCATTCATAACTTTTTGCTTTCAGGGGATTCTGGTTATCCACAACGCCCTTGGCTTATGACTCCAATATTAAATGCTCCACATGGGTCTCGAGAGGAATTGTACACCACTCGTCATGTACAAGCCAGGACATGTATTGAGCGCTGCTTCGGATTACTTAAAACACGTTGGAGGTGTTTGCTTCGTGACAGGGTCCTTCATTATCATCCCAACGTTGCCAGCAAAATAACACTTGCATGTTGTGTGCTACACAACATCTCGCTTCATGCACACTTGCCAGCTCCAAGTGATATCCCTGTTACTACTGTAGATGATAATGATGACTCCAGTACACAAACCATCCAAAGCACCACCACGGAGAATCGAAATGAATTAATCCGAGGCAGGGCAATGCTCAATTATTTAATAAGTAGATTGTAGATGTAGTGTTAAGTATCTATATTTATTAATTATTTAGCATTATAGCACATATATAATTGTTCAACTGCCAATATTTGTACAGAGTTGTTAAATATTAAGTATTGTTAGTTGTATAGACAAATAGTAATGTATAAAATTTGACTAAATGTTTCATTTGTTGCTTGGTTGGAAAAGTAGAGTAATGTGGTGTGACTATTTATTTTACAAGTTTTTTACTACCTTGCAATGTTTGTATGTTAGATCTCACAACTTTTTGTTATGTTTTTTGTGAGATTGTTTATAAAACATTGATTAATAAAATAGTCTACATAATTATAGAGATGACATTTTAATTTTTTTTATTGTGTTTCACCATTCACCTGTGCTAGTCCTAACTTAATTGAGGTCAGCGACGTATGTGGTACTTTCCTTTCATACTCTTTCGGCCATCATCTTAGTATCTACACTCGCACCCCATTCTGGATGTTATTAAAATAAAAAATGGTCAAAACAAGTGTTATAATAATAATAATAATTGTTTATTGCCTCTAAAAAGACAGTTACATAAGGTTAAAACAAAAGAATATTATAATTATTGGAGACAAAAGGAGACAGCTCAGCTTTGTCTGTAACGAGATACAGATCTGGTACAGAGCTGTTTTTCAGCCCGCTCCCTCCTCTCTGAGGTGTTGTGCGGGAGTCCAAAGTTGCATGCTCCCCATTTACCTGACTTATACTTAAAAACTAAACTACGTACAAGGTAATTAAATGTGATAATAAATTTCAAATACAAAAAAAATGACTAAAACATTAAAGACAAAATAAAACAATAAAAATATGCATAAAAACAACCATTACAAAATAAACTAACACCAGATTAAATAAAAGAAAATGAAACCAACACGGGAAATAGAAAATATACATAACCAAATCTTTTATTTTATTAGAACTACTTGAATAATAACTATCTAGGTACATACACTGAACTATCTACTTATTAAATAACAATATTAAACTTTAAATAAACTAAAAGTAGTATCAGTACTAAAAATAAATCTTATTAGTACTAAATTTAAAAGTCTTTAAAGCTGTTGAAATTAAAGTATTCCTAACATTATCTTAAACTAGTTTTTATGGACGAATTTCAATAGTAGCAGATATCTAACCGTGAGGTCTCAGATTTGATCCCCAGGTTGGGCAGTGTTATTGGGTTTTTCCATTAGAAATTCCTCCATATTAGCTTGGTGTATCTCTTATTGCTCTGTATTGTCCCTACTCCGATAGTGGTCAAACCACGCTTGCGCAATGCCTGCAAACATGCGTAACACTTGATTACGCTGGTGGTCAACCTCTATCCTTCGGGTTTCCAGCTCATACAGCTGCCTGTCTCTTCTCTCCTCCTGCCGAAGACGTAACTGTTCGATGGCAACGAACTCACTCGTCACTCTGTCGAATGGTGTGAGTGTACGCCTCCGGCGAGCCCTTAGAGACGTTTGTGTGGGGGAAACAGTTATCCCAGACCTCGGGGTTGGTGGGAATCGTCGCCTGCAGGTCGGCGGAGGGGTAGAAGGTGCAGGTTGCACTCTTGAACTCCTCATGGATTGGTCTTGCGATGTTGAGGTCTCCTGTGTGAGGGTGTGCGGTGGCTGCCAGCTGCAAGATGGTGTAGGAGTAGTGGGCGCAGGTGGTGATATTGCCACAGACTCTGTAAACAAAATGAACTTGAATTCAAATACCTACTTAATAAAGTATTTATAAAATATTAAAATATTTAGTAGTATGTAGGCTATACATACGATTGGCTGTTATGATTTCAAAATCAATTGTGTCTTGTTGGTGCGTGGCTGGTGGTGGACTCAAGGCCAGAGTTGGCGAGGAGATGACTTGTGATAGTCCCTGCAAAAAAATGACTTGAAATCTTAATTTAACTAATACCTAACCATAACATATCATATAAAACCTCTTATGACATTACTCATTTCATTAAACTAGGCATTTGATTAATTTTCCATTTGACTATTTTAATTAATTATATGTTATTTTATTAATTAAATACATGTTTTAAATATTCAAGTGATCAGTTAACCCTGAATTTTAAATGAAGAAGTGCGATACTTACAAAGCCTTGTTCCTGAATGCTTGGCAGACCATCCACAGTCAAATTCCCCATGATGGCCAACACCCTCTCCTCAAAAGCTGTGAGGGTTTGGCGAATACTCGGCCCACCACCAGTACCACTTGCATGACGCCTTATTAGCGATGCTTTTTTTTTTGTTTTCGACTTCCAGTCGGCCCATACCTTCGAAATTAATTAAGCAATATGTAGGAAAGTTAGGTAATAAGTAATAATAGTGTATATTAATAGTAAATGGTTAATATAAATAAAGTAAAGCATAAAGTGATTATACCATATATAGCTGTTGAATTTGTTACCTTTTTCCATTTGTCTGCCGATTTATTTACTCCACCACCGATGGAGTTTAATATTACTGCCAAATCACACCACAGCCGCTCGGATTTCAAGCGCCCTTGAGGCCCACATCGGGGATTGGATAGATCGCCGTGACTGCAATTGAACAAACAATAGGGCAATAAGCAACGGATTGTTAACATCACGTCATTGTTTACATTGAGCATACTCAGTCATTTGAATTTAATTAAGTTCATGGTTTAGATGAATACTTCTTAACCTTTCCATGAACTCTAAGGCCGTATTCAGTGCTCTCCTGACGGTCAGGACTGACGTCAGTCTGCCGTAGCTATCGCCATAGAAACCATGCGTGCATTCAGAGCAGCACTGACCGCGTCCGCATCAGGGCCGGTCAACTTCCTAATAGCAGATTGGCACCGGGAGATGACCTTGGGGGGCTTTAAAGAAGCGAGATGGAATAATATCTATCTCCCTCGCACGTTATGTTATATTGCCATGAAAGAAATATTATTTTAAATGACACATCATTTTAATCATTTTTTTATTTAATAATTATAATACTTTATTATATAATATATTTCGTTAAACATATATTTATTACGTCTTTATTGAAGTAACAAAATGTATAAATATGAAACTGCATACTATAATAAAAAGGCAAGTTATGGCAACGGCAAATAAACAAAATTACAAATGGCAGATCCGTTGCGCTTGCCGTTTCGTTCTTGTTTATTTGTGTTGCAAATTAAGTTTATCTTTCGATATAAACTTATTTCTTACATTACTAACGTTGAGTTGAACATCCCGTTCCTCCGTTTTAGTGTTTACAGTGAGAAAGAGACTCAAAAACAAGTGCTGTGCATTGTGCTAAAGAGACAGAGACTCAATTTTATCTTTCATCATGAAAGTAAACGAAAGGAAATGTTACAAGTGTGGATGTTCTCCTGCTCATGATCGTAACATCACCTTGCATCGTTTTCCTAAGCCTGGGAGAACAAATAGCGTACGGTACGTATGTTAAATAGCTTTTTGATTACTGATTAAAACAGTTTTAAAATGTTTAAATTTGAACCACTGAATTAATAAAGTAGCAGAAATAAAAATTATTATGGGCCGCATCAGCTAATAAAACCTAAGATACATATTAAGCGATTTAAAAACGTGTGCAAATAAATCTGAAAATTAGAGAAATTATGCAGAACAGCATGAGGTTTATCACATAGAAATCATAACATAATAAAAAGTTCTAGATGTATTGGTACACATAGAAATAACTTGTGGAATAATATTTATATATGTATACAATACAATCACATTGTTTGAAAGGAACAATCTTCTTGTATTGCACTCTTCTTCCAAGCACGTTTTTAGCACCTCAGTAGTATATTACTATCTAATTGTATTTTTTCAGATGGGAATTATGGGCGAAGTACTGTTTTCCTCATGAATCTTGGTGGTCACCAGAATTTCAAAACAATCTTCATTCTAGGCATTTAATGTTGTGCACTAAACATTTTAAGAAATCATCATTCATTGATAATTTTGGAAAGAGGCTAGTCAAATCTGCAGTGATGTATGTAAATGAGGAATGTGATAAGGTTAGTTAATCTTTCTTTTGTTACTATCTACATTTTTTACTTTTGTGTGGCTTTTGTCATACTACAGTGAAAATATTATCTAGTTAACAAACGGTGGTAGCAGATTGAGTGGTGATTTATAAGGGTATGCGACGTAACCTACCATTACTTCTCAACCATAAAAAAACAAAAGATATAAACTTTAAAAAAAAAGTTATCTTTTATTTAAAAAAAAAACCTTATCCAAACTAGGATTTTCTCCTCTTTGTGGAGGCACTTTACAAACATAAATTGGATGAGGACAAACAACCCCCGGCACAATTATTTATAGGCCTTGGGTCAATTTAAAATCGGTGGCAGAAAATGTGACTGTAAATTTCGAAAACAAAAGAAAATAAAATTCTGTTTAACTTAGTTGTATAGGTATTTATGCTATGTAGATATCATTGTTAAATGCAATATCGTGGTTGGGCACGATGTCTTGCCACTATTTTTAGATTTTCAAGGAATTTACTAGTAGCAGGGTAAAAAAAATTACAACTCTGTTACCATCATATATTTATTCATATTTAAACAACAAACAATTATTTTTAGAAACATTCTTTGTTATGAACATTAATTAAGTCTTTATTCTCATGTTCAACATGCAAAATTACACAATAGTTCTTCTTAAGTAGGAACAGTAATGGAAGTTAAATATACTCTGTTACTTCCTTTGTTTTAATGATCAAATTTTCACTATAAACTATGTAAATTGAATTAAATTATTAAAATATAATGATGATTATATTTAATTTTATTATTATTATATTATATAATTAATAAACAATGCATAGAGTCAGGTGTCAGCTTTTCATAAAATTCGAGACATTACTCTTATATATTTAGGGACACAAAAGTAACAAAGTTGTAGGAACAATAACATAGTTGTACTATTCGCAACAAATTTATGAACTACTATCACAAAAAACAATATTTTTGGCTATGAATTGTTTTAAGAAGTTTAGAAACTTAATTAGATTATAAAACTTAAGGGGAAAAAGCTAAAAAATCTTATTGAGATCAAATTAAACCTAAGCTGATAACTTATTTTTCAAATATCTCTAGTGGAGTATGGAACTGGTAATATACCCTTTTGCGTTTATTTACTTTTTAGGTACTGAAACAACTCTTATGAAACTCTCATATTGTTCATATGATATATCATTTTAAACTAATTTGTATGTTTTTCTAGTATTGTCAACAGAATTTAAAAAGACAATTTTTACTTCACCATCATCATCTACTTCGCTTAATGCTTTGCCTAGATAAACACTTACTTTCAGAATTGTAAACTTTAACTAAGACCTAGACTCCTTCTTTGATTTTACTTGGATGAATATTTTCTTTATGAATCAAGTGATTCTCATCATTTTTTTCTTTAGACAAGCAGGGTTGATTTGATGCCTTATCTTTTAATCGTAGCAAAGGATTATCATCATCTGATTCTGAACTCGAACTGTAAATTACATTGTAAAAAGATTTCCTTTTCTGTTCAATCAAATTACTTATATCCGCTAGATTAGTAGAATTACTCCTTTGATTCTTCGACTGTATCCTTTAGTAGACAATAGTTTTTTGGATTCATTCATGAGGAGAAACCAAGCTAGCAGAAACAGCTCAACTCTCGATATTTCAGCGCTCCCACTTCTTCTGTAATACACTAGTAGTACACTTGATGTACTTTCATTATACCATAGAAAGGAACAATTTCTGCTGGAATTTCATTCGTGATTCTTTCAATATCATAATCAGTTCAAGATTGACCTTAACTCCACTACTATCTTTCAGAGACTGATAGAACGAAGACGCTATCAGAATGTCTTTCCCAACAGCAACAAGCTGGTCAGCAGTCCGTTTTAGAAAGCCACCAACACCAACAGCTGCTCCTTTGCCGTGTTCCGACTCGAAAAAATTCCATGTAGGCTTGGTGAGGTTGTACTTTGAAAAAAGTTTTGTCCATATTAAGCAGAAGTTTTGATTCTGGCAGTACTGAGTAGCGGGTCATCTGAAAATATGTGTATCACTTTTATCTTAGGGGATTGGTCTTGAATTGAGGAAAGTATAGGATGAAGGTGACTCCAGATTGCCGAAGGGCCGTGAGAGAGGTTACCTGATACTGTACAAAAAGACTTCACCTCTATGTTTCGATTTTCCAAGCTTCGCTTATACAATACGCCAGTATGTAAGGATACCTGGTTACGAGTATCACGAAAGTGGTGTGATTGTATCACTTCATGGAACTTGCAATTGTAATTTTCACTGAAATCTACGTGTAGCGCTATTTTTTCTTCTGTCAATCCATCTATACAAGATCTGTAGTTTCTATACTGAGTTGAGTCATGTCTTTTATTAAGCGTTTCTTTTTATGATATCTCTCTAAATCCTTCTTCTTAGTTTCCGCTACCTCTTCAGGGTTTTATTTGCACTTTTCTTTATAGCGCCGCTGCTTTTCAGCAGCAGTGAGAGCCATAGCGAAGTACTATGTATTATCTAGAACAAATGATGTAATTTATTAGATAGCTATTATATAATATTGATTCCTACTAACATAGAAGCAGAGATACGGATATACAGACGCCAACGATGGCTTGTAACAGCTTAGTAATAACAACTCTGTTACCTCTCTACAACTCTGTTACCAGTAGCTAGTAACATAGTTGTGCAGTAACAGAATGGTAAATTTAACTTTAGTGACATTTTTTTTAGAAATGAAAGTTTATTATGTACAAAGAAAAGCACATTCGATATATCTTACACTAGAGCTACTTCAATAATATAAAACCGGTAACAGAGTACACACAGAATAAAACCACGAGCACACAGCAGCAGCTCACACCGCAGCCATCGGATAAATGAATCGTGTACCCGCGCCTCAACCGCCGCAAACCGTACGGATAGAACAGTAGAAATTTAAAATAATCGTACAAGCTTCAATTAATTTATTTAATATGGATGAAGTATGTTTTTAAATGTGTTATGATTGCTTTATTACACTAACTTTCAAACATAACAATTACATTGAATTGATAAAAAGATATTATGATTTTCGCATGATGCACTGCATATGGGACAGAATTTTTTTGTATGGAAAACAACTATGTTACCAAGAATGACCACTCTGTTACTTGATAAAAGTGGTGATAAATCAATAATAAAATTCATTTTTCTTGAGAATAAGCTTAGTAATTCGCCCCATATTTGACAAATTCAATAACATTATAACAATTTAATTAATATCACCGAGAAGAAAATATTTTTGCTCAGGGACGACTTTATCTGCAACCAATTTTAAATTGACCCCCTTACAAATACTTATTCCGTGCAGCATTCGAACCTGTGACCTTTAGTGCCGCAACTCAATGCTAGCCACTGCTCCGCGAGCTGTCAATGTTGTTTAAATGACATGATTATAATTTAGTTACTTACAGAATATATTTACAAATAAAAGAAATTGTTAAAATAGTGTCTTAAAAATAGGATGGTGGTGGTAATGGTGTTAAAGCAACATTCATTAAAAAAAACAAGTTGTATTTAATGTTTATAAATTTATAAGGCTGTTTGAAATTTAGAGATTGGTTGACCAATGC